GGGGCACCCAGACACAGGGCTGCGTGCCATCTGAGCACCTGGCCCCTGGCCTGCTGGGTCCTCAGGGGAGCTGCCTGGCTTCTAAGCTACTCACTGGCCACACGCTTAGGGAATCTGTAAGGCTGCTGCTCTCATTCCAGACATGAGCACAGGTAAGGTCCAAGGTCACTTAATAACAGCTCAACATCATAGGCTGAGCTGACAGCTAAGGGAGCCTGAGAACTGACCATCCTGGAAGTGATCCCCTCCCAGCACCAGCACCAGCCTGGCAGTGTGTGGGTTGTGGGGGGGCAGGGCTGAAGAGCCACATCCCCATTAGTAGTTTGCCTGGGGGGCTTGGTGGCTGTACCAGCACCCCCACCCATACTGACCCCGACGAAGCCCACAGTCTGCGGGCATGGCCCGTGCCCAGCACTGCCCTGCGGGCTTCCACACACCGTGCCCTCAATCCCCATGCACACAGACTGATGACGTCCCCATTCCACAGATGAGGCCCAGGGTAGCTCAACAGCTCAGCTTCAGGGGTCAGCTAAACCCCAGAGAGAGATGCCCTGTCTAAGGGCTCCTCAGCCTTGGCTGGACCTGGTGGTCACCACTTGCAAAGGACTGAGGGGCTTGGCGTGGGCATGACATCCTGCTCCCCAGACATAGGTCCCCACCCCACCACACCTGTGCGGCCACTCACCTGCCCTGAACAAATCTTGCCCGTCCCACTGCCAGACATTTGCATATGCTGTTCTCCCTGCCTGCCATGCTAACCCCTCTCTTTTCCAGCTTTCTAGAACCTTCCCAGTTCTTTCAGTGGCACTGCTGAGGCCCTATCTTCCCCAGGAACCCCAGCACTGGGTTTATAGGAAAACACAAGGCTTTTGTCTTCATTTGGGGTCCCCCAGAAACAGACCCTGAGAGGACTGGGGTGAAAATCAATGGTTTGGGAGGGGCCCAGATGCAGGGGTGGGGATGCGCGGTGGTACAGGAAGCTAAGGAGCCAGTGTAGGGTGCCTGACTCCCATCAGGCCCCACTGCGGGCCGCTGGGGTACAGTCCTGCTGGCGCCTGGGGCCCGTGTCACCTGAGCAGGACACCTGAGGGTCTTGCCCTACACCTCCTGCCAGCTGCAGGCTGAGGGCTGCTCCTGGACACAGGTCCCCAGGACTTCTGGCCAGAGAACGCAGAGAAAGCCCTCAGGCTGGGTGGTGTCAGAGCTGGAGGCAGAAGATGGAGGGCCAGGGCAGCTGGGGGGGTGGTTGACCTCCTACAGGTACTGACCAGTCAGAACAGGCGCCTGCTGTCAGCCTCCAGAGTCCCTGCAGCTCTGGCAGGCCAACCTCACAGATGCTCCCAGGCCTGGCCGCGTTCCCTGCTGCCCTCAGAGCACCAGCCCCACACAGCACACAGCAGTGCTTTGAACACGCTCGAGGTTAAACAAACACACGGAGACGGGGAGCAAGAGACCTTCCCACATGCCTAGGGAATGAATGTGACTCTGCCTCAGGCCCCAGTGGAGAGCACGAAGGCCCCCCGGGGAGGCAGGGCCTGCCCACGCCCCGTGAATGCAGGCTGCAGACACCAGCACGTCTCGGGCTCCCTCTGTGAGCACTGTGGCCTCACATGGCAGCTCATTCAATACTGGACCCTGCGAAGTCCCCCCTCCAACGCCCCACTGAGCTGCAGCCAAGCCGGACTGCATTACCTGGCCAGGAAAGGTGTTCACACCAGCAGGTTCAGCTCTGCAACCCCACGTTCCTGTTGAGAGAACAGGCCCTCCTGCCCAGAGGATGCCCCTGACCAGCTCCCAAGACTCACAGGGAAAGAAGCCATGGATCTGTTAAAGGCTCGAGCCCTGTGAAGCCCCAGGGGGTCAGGATGGGGCGTGTACATCACGCCTTCCCGACCTTCTCAACTTGTTGGGAAGACCACTGGTTATATCTGGGCCACTCTGCTCAGAACACCTGCTATCCCTGCAGGTGGCCTGGTCTGGGAAAGACCCTGGTGCTGACCTACCCCTGCCCCCCTACCGGCCATGAGCAGTCCCCTCACTTCTGTGAGCAACGCTATCCTCTGAGTCAGCTGAACATGCTGGTCAACCCGGGGTCACATTTGTCGGGGTGCCTGGGAGACAGACAGAGCCTGGACAGGGGTCGGGAGGCATGGGCCCCACGCCTGCTCATCTCACATGGTAGTTATGGGGCCCTCGAAATCGCCCATGTGAATCAGGATGTGCCCTAGTGGGCACACATGGTTCTGAACATCTATTAAAAAAATATTTTCACCAATAACTCAGTGTACAGATCACACATTGAAATGATAATATTTGGGGTATACTGGCTTAAAGAAAATATATTAGAATTAATTTCACCTGTTTCACCGCCCCTCCCCCACCCCAGCTGTATTGAGGTAAATTGACATGTAACGCTGGATTAGCTTAAGAGGTACAACGCGATCATCTGACATAGGAATAGACGGCAAAATGAGTTTAGTGACGTTTAAAGTTCAGTTAACATCCATCACCTCACAGAGTTACAATGTTTTTTCCTAGCGATAAGCATGTTTTTTTACTTGCTGTTTAGGGGCTCCTAGGAAAACTCGGTAATGTGGCTGGCACTGCCTTCCCCCTGGACACCCACGCTGCTCTGCAAGCTCACTGGCTGCTGGGGGGTTTCCAGTAAATCCCTTGGCCCTTTGGAAACAAGCAAGCAGACCAGGTGGCCTCTGGCATCCGTCCAGCTGGGACCCTGTGGCTCTGAGCTGCGACTCAGGGGCAGCCAGAGCGAAGTGTGGCAGGAGTCAGGCTCACAGCCTGCAGGAGCCCCCCTGGCCTCCTCCCGCCTCACCCCTCCCGCCTGGGGCCCCTGAAACTGCCTGGGACGCTTCCCCCCAGGGTCGCCACGGCCTCTCCTCCAGGTCTGAACTCCAGTGGCCTCTGCTCTGGTGGGCCTTGCTCACCTCCCTGCTTCAAACTGCGCCTCTGCGTGGACTCGCTCTCTCCCTTCTCTGCGGACGTTGGCGCCATGCCCTTCAGCCCTTAGGGTCGTCAGATGCAGCAAATAAAAGAACTGGGGGCCCAGTTATGTTTGCATTGCAGATCAACAATGGATAATTTATTTTTTTTAACAGTGGATACATTTTTAGTCTAAGTACGTTCCAAATACGCACGGAACATACCCGGGGGCCCTGCACTGCCTTCCCCAACAGACCCCGCGTGTGTGCACCTCTTGTGCTGCCACCTCGAGGCTCCCTAAGCCAGGATGGCAGCTCCGGGGGCGGGCGCTTTGGTCTCTGTTATCCTTGTACTGCAGCATTAGTTCCATCCAGCATGTCTGCGCTCAGTGGAGACTCGCTGAATAACGATGGCAGCAGCTGGCCGCACACGCCCCCTGGCCCCCGATTCTCCCAGCCATACTCAAGGGCTCTGTTCTCCGAGGAAGCCTGACTGACTGCAAACACCCTCCAATCACAAAATACACACAGGAGAGGCCTGAATAGGAACAGGGCTGCAAACAAGGCATGCAGAGAGCAGGCCCTGAGGCTGCTGTCACCACCCACTCCTGCCCTGGGGCTGGTTTAGAGAGAGGGGGGCTGTCTGCCCTCAGGGCTGGGCAGGGATGAAGTGTGGCCACCTGCCCTCTCCCTCAACCAGCCCCTCTGTCTCCTTCTCAGGCCTCAAGGGGGGCCCTTGCAAGTTCTTGGAGGAGGACACAGACAGTCAAGGTCACTTGTGTCCAGAGTGGGCAGAGCTGGGCGCCCCAGGTATTTCTGAACAAGGCACAGGTGCTAGCCAGGCCTCCGCTTTGTCCTGGGACATGCACGGCAGACTGTCCAAGCCTGCTCTAATTTAAAGCACTGTGACCAGTTGTCCCTCCATTCTGCTATGTCATCAAATGCAGGGACAGAGCCCTGCTGCGAGGGCCCCAGAGCTCTCAGCTCGAAGGATGGGCTCCAGGGTGGCTCTGCCTCGCCTACCAGATCACTTGGCAGATATACAAGAAACAGAGACCACAGCCATGCCAGCCCTCAGGGAAGCGTGTCTGGGGAGATAAGATTCCAGAAACAGCAACAGAAAAAAAACGCAAACTGGAGAAAGCTAAGGGCCAGAGCTGGGCGGAGAAAGCTCAGTGTTGCAGGTTCTGAGAGAGATGACCTAGGCTGGCAGGGTGCCCAGGGCATGCTGGAAGAGGTGGCTTTCAGGGAGAGGACAGAGGCAGCCCGTGTGTGTGTGTGAGCACAGATGAGCATGTGCATGCACACGCGTGGAGAACAGTGGGCGGCCGCCTCCACAGCCTGCAGCTTCGCCAGGCTCCACTGGACCGGCCGTCCCTCCATCTGGCCCCAGCTGTCCTCACCCGGTGCTGGGCCAGGTCATGGCCTGCTGTGGGCACTTCACCTCTGCTTTTGCCTGTGAATGCTGAACCTGAAAATGGATGGACACTCAGAGAGGTCTAAAGAACGTCCAGAAAGCTCCGGGGCCGCGGGAGCAGCTGTGCCTCCCTACTTTGGTGAGGTGTGCGCGACAAGCCTGTGGGCCTGGGCTGTTGTATGGCACCAGTTGGCCTTTCCTCTTTCACCCCCACAGCTGCACGAGGCACTGCTGGGCAGAAGGGTGGGGAAGAGGGGGGCCCTCTCTGAGCCAGGCTACAACTCTCTCAATCACACACTCATACACACACACTAGTCCCCTAGTGCATATCAGATCACCCCAGGACTGTTCACATCACGTAGCTCTGCCGGCCTCCAGGTGAGCAAGTGTGGGGGTCCAGCAGGTCCAGGGTGGACAGTGAGTGCTCAGCCCTGGCTGGAGGGTGGCAGAAGCCAGGCTTTGGCCATTACAGCAGCCCAGCAGCTCCCATGGGCCTTCCCCTCTGCTGTCTGACTACCCAGGCCTTGGAGCCCCTCTGGCCTCAGCCATCAGCACGTGCCCAAGCTGGCCCTGGAATCTGATGCCCTTTGAGCCATCCTGTGGTGACGGACGAGGGCAGGAAACCCTCTGGAGGCAAAGGGCAGGGAGGGGGCAGGAAGAAGAATGGAGCTTCCTCAGAGCCGGCGTGAGAGGGGCTGTTGTCCTGAGAGGGAGCGGGTGGGGCGGCCCGGTCCTGGCTCCCCTGGGGGTCCACCAGGTAAGTCTTCAGGCAGGGGCAGCCCCCAAACCCAGAGCTGCCCAGGATGAGGGCTGAGCAAAGGGTCCTGGGGGCCTTGCAGAGGAGACACATGGCAAAGGGGGGTCGGCCCCAGAAGCAGGATGGCGGGAAGGGGGTGCTGCTGACCCCACCTCTGGGCACCGGGGTGACCTTGCTCATCACACCGGGGCCGTCGCACGGCTGCTGCACCTGGGACCACTCCTTGTGTGGGAAGGTGCAGAGCAGGGACTCCAGCGCAGAGCCCACCTGGCTCCCTGCACCCCCAGCTGTCGCTTCAGGGGCAAGAGGCCATGCTGCCCGCCCCCACTCCTGAGACAGCATGCTGGGAGGCCCTGTGCGCCCCAGCTTCCCTCCTGTCTGGACAGCGGAGCAGCTCTGCTGGGCTGAGGAGCTGATGGCACGCACACCAGGGACCCACAGGTCCCGCTGGTCCCAGTGCCCCTCCCTCCCTGCTCGGTGCCCAGGACACACAGCTGCCAGGACAGCTGCTCGGGAACCTTTGCAGTCACAGTCAGACAACAAGGGGAAGGCCCTTGGCCGCCATGCCTCAGGGGAAGTGGGCAGGACCCTCTCCTTCCGCTCCTGCTTGTCCTCACGTGAACAGTGCCCCCCACCATGTCCTCCCTGAACCTGGGAACGTGGCCTTATTTGGAAACAGGCTCTGTGCAGATGGAATCCAGTTAACAGAGGTCATACTGATTAGGGGGGCCCAGAATCCAAGGACAGAAGCCCTCAGAAGAGAAGGGGGTCACTTTGGGGGCACAGAGGAAAGGCAGGACTGGAGGGATGCAGCCAAAGCCGAGGAATGCCCGCAGCCACCAGACAGGTTGGCACGGGAACACGACCTGGCAGAGGGAGGGGCTCGCCTCTGTGTCCCTCTCCCCCAAAAACCTGCTGGCTGGGAACAGGGCATCTATGGGCCTTTGGAATCTGAGATTGGTACAGGGGGCAGAGGGCCTCCCCCTCCTGAATGTCCTCAGGTGCAGTCAGACCCACTGTCAGACCTGCATGTCCTCGGCCACCGTCAGACCCACTGCGCTGGAAGACGAGCGGATTACCGTGGACAGACCCACTGCCATTTCTGACAGTCACAGAGGAGAGGCTCGCTGGGCTACGTTTAGCCTGACCGCTGCTGCAGGGGGCACTGGGGTCAGGGTGTTCTGAAGGGCACGGGGCACGGGAGGAAGTGGGTGGCCTTGCTGGCCCATGTGCCCCAAAGCCCCCGAGTGGCCTTTCCCATCCAGGGTGTGGCTGTGACCAGCCTCATGGTGTGGGGGCACAGCCCACCTGGCCTTATGACCTGGAGCCCTGTACGGGGTGCTGAGCAGAGCAGGTGGGCTGACAGAGGGGCACACAGCCCTTTGCAGAAGGGGCCCAGGCTGCCATTCCCCTCCAGCTGCCCCCGTGTCATCCTCGTGGGCCCTGGCAGTCCCCACTGGACCCTGGACATGTGGCCACCCTCATGTGGGAGGGCTGATGGCCAATGCCCAGGGCCTGGTGGCAGGGCGAAGGGAGAAAGAGCAGGAGAGAGTCTGAGAGAGGGGTGGGGGCCACCCGGAGGAGGAGGCTGACCCAGTCATTTTGAAAACCAAGGACAGAATGACGACAGAATTAGTAAAAATGATGACCTAATAAAAATATTATTAATGCATTTAACTTTACAGGCATGCAAAGGGGTGGCCAAGGCTATGATCCCCATTTCCCTGATGAAGAAACTGAGGCTCATGGCAGTTCCAGGCACCAAAATCGAGGGTGAGGCTCAGGCCCCACGGGTCCCTGAGAGAGAGCACCCCTTCTGGGGCATCATCAGGCCAGCTTTGCTCCGGTCACCCCGCCAGAGACAGCTGGTGGGGGAGCCTGCAGAAGGCGCAGGCCAAGGCCAGGCCCCCCCCAACCCAGCCTGGCGGAGGGTCAGGGGTGAGGCGGCACTAAGTGGCTTATGCCTCCGTGCAGAGGCCAACTGACAGACGGCTGGATTAACAAAGACGCGCTCTGTTCCCAGGCAGGTCATGTGGAAAGCACAGCCGCGACCCCTGTCACATCTCCTTTTTTATTTTTTTGTAAGAAGAGATGTTTGTTCCTGAGCCGCGTGGAGGAGGGGCCCCCGCCTCTTCACCAGCTGTAACCACGTCAGCTGCCGTGGGCACAAAGGCCGCTTTTCCCGTGTCCCCCCCTCACCCCGGAGCCCCAGCCCGAGGCTGCCAGCCGGCCCGGCACACAGGACTCAGCCCGCTGCCCAGCTTTGCAGCAAGGGACCCTCCTGAGTGCCAACTCGCAGAGCAGCAGCTGAAAACGGCTCATTAGCCCTGAATGGAGCCTGCAGAGCAGGGGCAGCGGGCAGGCAGGCCCTAGCAGCCGAGGACATTGTTCCCGCCCAATCCCTGGAGGGCCACAGATGGGTGTAGTGCCTCCTGCCCAGCCCGGCTGGTCAGGCGCTGCCGAGATGCTATTTCAGATACATCCAGTTAAAGAAAATATATTCTTAAGACTAATCTCTCCCGTTTCTTTGTATGTTTAAAATGTGGCCACTCGGCAAATTGACATTACATCTGTGGCTATTCACCTTCTGTTTCATGTTGTGCCGTCTGGGTCTAGGGCTGTGCTGATGTGAGCTGTCCAGACCCTCACCTCAGCATCCCCTGGGAGCTGGTAAGAGGCGCAGCTTCTCGAACCCCAAGCTTGCAGAAGCAAAGCCTAATTCTTAGGCGAACTTTGGAGCCCCACAACTACTGTACTTGTGATCTGTCACCAAACTGAACCAGGCCCCCCACACTGCCCTGTGCCCATCTCAGGCCCCACAGAGCCCCGAGTCAGCGGAAACACCCACCACCCCATCAGGGGCTGTGCAGTCCCCCAGCTGGGGAAAATGTCTCCTGAGGGTCTTGGGAGCAGCAAAATAAGATCTTAGAATGCTGAGCTTGCCCTGTTCTCCCCCTCAAAAGTTGTCTAGCCAAAACCTCTCTGATTTAGACAAAATGGAGGGAGACAGTCTGATCTGCAGAACTCAAGAATTGGTTGCTGAGTGCCTGCGGCAGGCCAAGTGTTTAGAAACATTTATTTCATTCTTTTTGGTTATACACAGCAATGTGAAGCCAGGCTTAGCTGTGAAAGACCTTTTAGGAGATGATTTTAATGAATAAAGTTCCCTGTTGAGGACCAACGGCAGTAGGTATGTTAAGAGTTGCTGTAAAGTTCCTGGGGGGCGGTTTCTCAGAGCAGTTTAAAATAAGCCCCGGGATTCTTGTTTGCCATCAGAACCTGGAGGAAAGAACCAGGTCCTTCCCTGTGTATCAAGAACCTGCTATCTGCTTGAACAGTGCTGGATACAAATTTTCAAAACCCCCAAATATGCTAAGTAGTGAAGAATGAACCATACCTAGAGAGGTCTGGCCTCGGCCCTTGGCTTCTGGGAGGTGCCCTCTAGACCCTTGGGATGCCTGCTGGATACGGGGCCTGCTTACCCGGGGTCTGCGCCACCTCTGGAGGGGCTGGGGAGTGCAGTCAGTCAACCACAGCTTTGAGACCAAGCCCCAATAAAAACTCTGGACATTGAGGCTCCTGTGGGCGTCCCTGGCTGGCAATATTCTAGGTGTGCGTCACCCTCACTGCCCTGAGGGGTTAACACTGTCCTGACTTTCCTGGTTTAGTTGGTCTGGGCAGGGCCAAGCCATCAGCATTTTGCTGAAGGGTTCCCAGGAGGCTGTCATGTGCAGCTGGAATCTAGGAACACTGCCCCACAGCCCATGCTTGGGGGGAACACCTGAACCCCACCCCAGGAAGCAGGTTTGCCAGGGAGGCCCACCAGCACGCCCACTGGGGCTGACGTGCCTGCAGGCCCATTAGGGTTGTCTGCTTCCTACAGCAAGGGGCAGGCTGTGAGCAGGGGGACAGGCTCTAACGGCATGTGGCACAACCCCGGGGGGGCTCTAAGGAAGTGGGCTTTGGGCTGGAGGCCGCCCTAAAGCAGGGGCCACGTGACGACTGGGGATGTCAGCTCTTTCTAGGAGGCTGGAGTCGTGGATGGCAGAGCAGCACAGGGATGCTGGTGGAGCAGGTGGGCACAGTCATCTTAGGAATTCAGGTGGCCCTGTGGCTGTTTTGTCCCCAGCGAGGTCATGAGCGCCAGCCTGACCAGTCTTCACAGGCGCCTCATGCTCGGCAGGGCACCATGGCCCAGCTGATACCTGGTCTGGTTGGCTCAGGGCAATGGGCCCCCCAACCACTGGGTTTTCAATCTCCAAAGCCCCTCTTTCCCTTTCTCCAAAGCCACAAGCCTGGCACTTCTCCTGGCATATGGAGCAGAACTGCTCCTGACGGCCACCCGCCTCACTTATGATGCCAAGAGGTGATCAATCCCTTCCTCGCTTGGAACTCAGTTTCCCCATGACTAAACAAGACTAAGTAAGACTGCCCATGATTTGGGGCACGTGGTGTAGAAAGGACACACAGCAGACACCTGGTCCCCTAAGCTTGGAGGGATGCCCCTCAGGGCCCCTGGGGACACCAAATCCCCTCCCCTTCTCTAGACACACAGCTAAGCAGCACTGTCCACCTCCTCACCCTCATGGGGAGAGCTGGGCATGGGATGCTTGGACTGGGGACTGCAGGTGGCAGGTACGTCACCTCTCACCATCTGCAGGGACTCGGAGGCCCCAGGAAGCGGCAGTGCCTGGGACCCTGAACCACCTCATGGAAGGCGTAGTGGACACCTAACTGGACTGTGATGAGCGAGTGAGAATAAGCTTTACCTGCGTTAACCACCGAAGACGTGGGGCTGTTTGTTACAGCAGCGAGCCTCACTCATCCTGCCTGAAACGCGAAGCCCCAGCAGTGACCAGGGCCGGGAACCTACCTTAAGGGCTCACGGTGCTCTCGGGTCAAGACACGTTAAAGGGCCCCTGCATCCGAATTTCCAGGGTGCCTAGTAAACACGCAGGCTCCTGGGTCCCATATGCCTCCAAAATTAGAAGCTCCGGGGACAAGGCCCTGAAGCCGTATTTTAAGTCAGCACTCCTGGGGATTCTGGTGCACAAAAGCATCTGAGAACTGCTAGTAAGAGAGCAGAAAATCACGGCTCGCATCCGATGCTGGAGACGGGGCTGGACTCCATCCCCCTGCCTGAGCCAGCCCCACCCTCTGCGCTTACCGAGGAAGCACCATGGGGGTGGGGACCCTGACGGTCATTCAGCAAACTGGGCAGGCGAGAGATTCATTTGGGTGCCTGCTTAATGCAATGACGAATTCATTGAATTCTGATAAGGTCATCCCTTAGCAGGTGGGATAAATCATGGCTGAGCTCTTGTCAGGATGACTCTCAGTCATCCCCGATTAAATTAATAATGATTAATTGGGGCTCCTGAAAGCTGAGCTGCCAGGCAAAGATGAGAGTGCCTCCAAGCTCACCTGCTCTCTTATTTCCTCTCGCACTTCTTGGGCTGCGTCTCCTCCCCCAGGTGACGTTCTAAGATGGGAGACAGGAAGTGGACCATCTGGAGATCTGGGCAGTCTTAGCAGCTGTTCGGGGGGCCGCCCGCACTGAGCTGAGTGGGGACATCTGGGAGGGTCCTCCCTGGAGAGTTGTGCTGGGTCTTGCTTGCTGGGAGCCACTGAGGTGGGCAGGGCCATCTGCCTGGTCATGGAGCCCAGGTCAGCTTGCTTCTTGCCACTGCTATCCTGAGCCACTCAGGCTGGTCCGCACCCGGCTACCTGGCTGGGCACAGCCCCGGGGTGGGTGGATGGGGTGGGGCACGGTGGTGGGCTCTGGGCTGTGCACTTTTTATGAGACAAACAGCATAGCCTGACACCCAGGGCCTCTGGGCCATCTGGGAGGAGGGGGCACCCATGCTGGAGCTGCTGCCTGCAGGGAGAACCCTCCTCTCTGCCCTGGAAGGGGGCCCAGGGAAGCAGGACCCAGCTTTGAGGGTGCAGAGAAATGAGATACATACAGAGCTAGAGATGAGAGAGATGGTGACTGGAAGGCACTGTCCCCACCTGGATGTTACAAACGGACAGAAGTCTGGGTGAGCCCGGGCAGCATCCTTTCGGTGGGTTTCTGTCACGTTGCCCATCTAGGGGAGCTCAGGATAAACTGAATTGCTCCACCACCAGGCCCCGCTCGTCCCATTTTGCCTGAAGTGTGGCTGGTACAGGTGAGGGCAGAACAAGTCTGTGTTCAGTGGTTGATTTTTAGAAGACTGCATTTCCCGGGAGTCATTCGTTATCCCCGGAACCCGTCTCCCAGGGACCACCACATTCCAGGGGCTTCTTCAACTGTCCCCAGGAATTGCATGGCCCCCACCGCTCCCCGAGTGAAGGCCTCTTCTGCCAACTCCTGGTTATTAGCAAACATTCGCCGAGGCACTGCTCTGCTGGCCCACACAGCTTATAAAATGCAACGCTGCCTCAGCTTGGGAGGTTGGGCCGTAAACATTCCTGTAGCGGGCTTGGCAATTCCCTGCCGATCACCGAGGCGCCATGTGAGGCGAGAGGGAACAGAGGGGGGAAGGTCCCAGACAAGCCCTGTGGGTTTGGGAAGGTTTTGTGCCACTTCAGAGATCTGGCAGCTGGGACAGGGCAGAGGTCTGCACGGCGAGGCCCTTAGGGTGAATATGGCCCCTGGAGGAGGGTGAACTCAGGACCCTCCTGCCCACACTCCCATCACACGCTCAAGGGGGCCAGAGAGGCACACCAGCCCGTCAGCGCCAGCTCCCGGGACCAGCTGCCTGCCTGCAGCCCTGCCCGTGTCTCCTCCTCCTCCAGCCCCATAGCACCCCCAAATACCAGGAGGCAGCTCGGCTGGGGGCTCAAGGTGTGGGGTGAGGGGTGTAACCACATACTGAGCTGGGGCTCAGTGGCACATGAGGTGGGTGGTCAGGGCCAAGCTGCTTAACTTTGTAAATCCAGTCTTTTCCACAGGGTGGAATCTAAATCAGAGGGCTGGCGCACGGTAGGTGCACAGTGACTGCTCAGAAAATGTAATTAATCCTTAATAGGTGAGTGGATGAACAAAATGGGGTCTATCCGTCCAGTGGAATATTACTCAGCCATGAAAAAGGAGTGAAGTACTGATGCACTACACATTGAACCTTAGGGTGAAGGTGGCCCTAGGTTCACGCTGAGGTTTGCAAGGCAGACACAAAAGGTCACATAGTGTATAATTCAATCTATATGAAATTTCCAGAGCCAGCATGTCTATAGTTTACAGAAAAGTAAAGTAGATTAGAGATTACCAAGAGCTGGCTGGAGGGGAATGGGGAGTTATTATTACAGAAAGGAAACAGAGTTTCTGTTTAGAAAGATGAGATTTTGGAAATGGATAGTGGTGATGGCTGCACAACATGGGGAATGTACAGAGTGCCCTGAATTGTATACTTAATGGTTAAAATGGCAACTTTTATATTATATAAATTAGCATAGTAAAAAATGTAATTGTTACGTCTACAGTTAAAAACCATTTTAATTTCTGCAGAGGAAGGGGCAGGGCAGATGGGGCACTCTACACTGGAATCCTAAAAGCAAGAGCAGGCTCACTGGGTGCCCAGAGCAGGTCCACCCCAGGGTGCTCTCTGAGGCTGTGGGCAAGTC